AAAAAAAAAAAAAAAGAAGAAAAGAAATCAAACAAAAATTCTTGAAATTCTCTATTATAGCTGCACAGCGTTGAACAACAGAATTCACAATTCATGTCAAGGGGAAAGTTGCTTCGACGCAACTTTTGACCCTCCCCCGCTCCCCCGCGTGATTTATCACACTGTGTTGGAAATCACCAGCTGACGTCCACAATCTTCCTCTAAACAAAAGTTTCCAGATCCAGAGATATGGCCGACAAATTTGCATATTACTGTTGCTGCTGTTGTTGCCTGCTACTCGAGAACCTGTTGTTGTTCGAACTTTCGAACGAATTATCGCCAGGCTGGATAGCCAGTTGGCTGGCCCGATCGATTTCGGTGAAACTTTCCGAGGGCGAAGTGAATTAAACATATATCCGCGCGAAGCTTTACTCAAACGACACGACGCGACTATTATAGAGAGAAAGAGAGAGAGAGAGAGAAGAAGAAGAAGAAGAAGAAGAGAGAAGAGTCTGCGACAAAGGAAGCTACTCGTACGTTCAAAACTCGCACATGACATATCGCTGTCGCGGGAGGAACAATAGAAAGCCTCTTTGTAGCCGATCCTAGATCACGCGTCTAGGAGGCGAGATTGCCGGCTCAGCGATAAACACGGTCTGGATCTAGGCCAGCTTCTGTTTATCGTTCAAAACGCAATCGTAAATCCTTTTCAGCGCGAGCGATCTGGCTGCCGATGATCGAACCCGGACACGATTCCGAGGACTGGGATCGAGAATTCTTACGAATTGCCTAACCCCCTCTTCGTTAAGAAACGGAAAGTCGTTATTTGAAAACGAATTGTTGAATTATTTAATTTTGAAAAAAGTTGGCTTTCGAATATTCAGATTTCGAAGTTTCTTAAACAACCTAATAACGGGCTTTATAATTATTATAGTATACTTAAATTACATTTACAATTGTTAGATGTTCCATAGTGATTCTATGACCGAAAGTCAACGATTATTGTAAATTTGAGCGTGTGAATATTGCCACGAGAAATGTTCTCTTTTGTAATTACATGTGTTTATTTTTTAGGAAAATAGATTGTTATGTTAATATATACTAGATACTCAAGAAGCATGAAATTTAGAAAAAAAAAAAGTCTTCCTTGTTTGGACAAATACTTGTGACACTTTTTAAAGCCAGCAGGTAAAAATTCGTCGATTATTTGTATTAGAAGAAGTAAAATTTCCTAGCCCGCGCTCTTTTCAACGAAGATCGATTCACTGCCCTTTGATGAAAAAAATAGATGATATTGAAATAAAGTCATTCGCGCGTAAGCAGTACAATGTCCAAACGGCCTTCACGCTATTCGCACCAGTCCTTTAATTACAAAA